CCCCCCCCCTTTTTTTTGACGATCACAGCGGTAGATGTTAAATCCATTGATTGCCAGGTCATTATTCATTACAGATTTGTTGATCCAGGTTTCAGAGATAAAGATAACATCTGCCCCAGAAGAACTGACCAGAATTTTCAAAGCATCAAGTTTTTTCAGAAGGCTACGAGCGTTTACATGCAGAAAATGAAGCCCAGACATGTTCTTAAAGTCATTTGGTGTGCTGTAATTAGTGGGGGGTCCAGTCCAGGGTTGGGCTGAATCCCTGAGAGCAGTAACAACATTGTTATCAGACATTTTCTTGAGTTTTTTGTGACTGATGTGTAATTGTAGGAGTTAACAGTGTGACAATTAGCCCCCATAATCGAACCATGAGAAACATTAATGAAGATGTGATCATTCAGAACCCAAAAACAGTGAAAGTTGCAGTGATGGACAGATTTAGGTGTATTAACAAGATTCAGTGACTCCAGATAGTCTGAGAACTGAAAATAGTGACAATAATATGAATGATGCAGAAAAGTTTCAGACCATAAAATGTCACAGTTCAAATGGGCAAACAAACCCCACGAGGTGGCCCAACTGCAGTTTGAGTTGGGCTGAGGGGGGCTCCGGCCCCCCAGTGAAGATGGATGGATGCTCCCATGGGAAACAGAAGCTGGGTCCAGAATCAACAGGCCGGAACAGAAACAGATAATTCGCAGCAAATAGCAGAGCGAGCTGCCAGAAAATCCTCCTGAAGTGAAAGGCATGATCCAAGCTCGTTTCAGGTCAACAGGGGCCAACAGCGTGATCCGGAATAAAATTAATTATTATTATCCAGGTGAGTTTGGATGGAGGCCAGTAGCAACTCCGATACAAACTCTGAACTTCTCTCGCGCACCACGCAGCTCTGCTCCCCTGCTTCTCTGCACGACACCTCCACACCCGACAGCACGAGAGGCACCCCCGGTGAAAAATGAGACTGACCGGAGAGGCTGAAGTCGACACTTGTCCGGTCCGATTCTGCTCCAGTCCGGCTCCGGCGCTCCACAGCACGAGAGACGAAGAGGCTGAAGATATCCCTGGCCCGGTTCTGCTCCGGTCCGGTGGCGTGGTTCTGCTCCGGTCCGGCGGCGCGGTTCTGCTCCGGTCCGGTGGCGCTTCAAAGCACTGGAGCGTCTCCTCCAGGTAAACACAACGATTCCACGGAGGTGGACAGTCCTGTGGTGAAAGTAACGGGCTGCTCACTGAAGCTGAGACCGGCTCTGTTGAAGACGAAATCCCCACAACCACCTCGGTTTGGTTCTGGTCCAATTCGAGGGTCACAGGTACACTTCCCCCACACCTATGAAGACACCACGAGGGCCAGTCCAGCAGAAAACCAGCGAAATACCACCCGGCGATTTTTGTCGGAACCAGGTAGAATCACAAAGGTCCAGATAAGAGTTCGTTGAGGTCCAGAGAGAGAGAGAAAAAACACCGGACCTTCATGCGACGACTCCCCGGCTCGAGGGGTCACCTGGCCGGCAGGGTGCACTCAGAGTGACCGGTGGGGTGGGAGCGGCCGGTCCTGGACCAAAATATATTTTTGGACGGTCCCGTCCGGCTCTCTGAGTCACTGAACACCGAATTCGGTTGGAAGGAGGACCAACTTTAGTCCGGTTCGAAAAAACGGGTCAGTTTGATGATAAAAGACTGCAGAGAAGCCGGAGGGAGCTGCCATCCATCAGCTCGCCGGAAGTGTACTATATAAAAGTATTAATGTTTGATAATTATTTTTTCTATAGGCACATTCAAATAAATGCAGCAATCATAAAGTCCAATACAATAACCTGGAGGCTAGCGCTAGCATACTAACTCCAGAAACAAATAAACTCACCAGTTCCCACTTTGAGAATACACAGTCAGCTGAAGGTTTTTTCACAAACAGTACCGTCTAAAAGTTGAGAGACATATCTGTCAGAAAAGGCAAATAGGCATTAGATAAAGGGCTTACAATGGTTTAAAGCATAACTGCAACCAGCCTGGTTGTGAGTGTCAATGCTTGGATCTGTTCCCGGACAAAAAAATAAAAAATCTGTCCGGACTGGAAGTGCCCCCCAAGCACAGATATCGGCGCCCAAAATCTTCCTATCTTTTGTAAGGAGGAGGCACTAGTGCTCATGTCCAAATTTTAATGATAGTTTATGAGCAAAGATTCTTGTGCCCCCAGGGGCTGGAAATACGTCACCAATCAGACAACATATTTGAAAGAAATACGAACTCATCATTAACTAGAAAATGTTTATCTTACACAACCAAAAAAAAAGTACATATATTTTGAAATATTTATATTTTATTATTTCATTTTTATTTGATTCTTTTAAGTCTTCAATGTAAAATGGTGAGTGGTTTCAGTGGGTGGGCGGTACTCTAGCGCCCTCTATGGGCCGGCCACCACTGGTGTGTGTGTGTGTGTGTGTGTGTACGTGTGCATGCATGTGTGTGTATGTGTGTGTATGTGTGTGTTAGTCTCATTAAGCGGTGGACAAATTTCATGAAAGTCTGGATGTACAGTACATCCACAACTGAGTCAGTCTAATTCAAGATGGCCACCACAGCTAAAGAACCTTATCAAACCCAAAGTGATTGCAAGTCAGTGTATTTTACTGTGACTGATCTGTGGGTGTGGTAGTAGTTGAGAGTGATCCGCAGCACACACTCGGATAAATAAAGGATCCTCTAAGTCAAGCTGAACAGCAGCTTTGACGCTTCTTCTCCTTGGATGTGTTTTTAGGTGGTGTTCCTGTAGAAAGCTCAGGTGGAGGCCCAGTGGACTTGAGGACAGAGCCCAGGGTCGGGGGGTCTCTGTCCAGCAGTGTGGCGATGGACACCACCCTCAAAGAGCAGCAGCTTCAGCAGGAGCTGGTGCTTCTCAAACAGCAGCAGGAGCTGCAGAAACAGCTGCTGTTTGCAGAGTTCCAGAAGAAACATGAAATTTTGACGAGACAACATGAGGTCCAGCTGCAGGAACATTTAAAGGTAAGTCCTGGTTTCATACCCCCCTACCCCGCTAGCCAGAGGGAGCCAGTAACCTGATTATGAACATGTGTGTGACAGCAACAACAGGAGCTGCTGGCAGCTAAGAGACAGCAGGAGCTGGAGCAGAAGAGGAAGCTGGAGCAGCAGAGACATGAAGAACAGGAGAAACAGAGACTGGAGCAACATCTCCTGCTGCTGAGGAACAAGGAGAAGAGCAAAGAGAGTGAGTTGTCTGGCTGATGGCCTCCACAATGTCCTCAGAGACATGTCCTGACTGCTGTCTGTGTCTCCTGGAAGGTGCCATCGCCAGCACAGAGGTGAAGCTGAAGCTGCAGGAGTTTCTTCTCAGTAAGAAAGAACCTGGACCTGGTGGACTCAACCATTCCTTCTCCCTAAAGTGCTGGTGAGTTTTATCATTTGACAAGAAGACTTCTACTTCGACTTCCGGCTGAATGGCGGTGAGATAAGGTGTGTTTGGGTGTGCTCCTACAGAATTAGCCTTTTCTCTGATTAATGCCTGGGCACTTTTTCCCGAGTCCGACAGCAAACAATAGCTAACTTACACACTTTACATAACCCTCCTATTTGACCATTAAAATGCCACCAAAACCGACTAAAGGGGTAAGTTCGATCCAGGCTCACCTGCGGCCTAATCCTCGTAGTGAAGCCTCGAGCTGTCCTGGATCATCTCCTCCGTCTGAGGGCGACGTCAGCAGCCTTAAGCAAGAAATACTTGTAGCTCTCCGAGAGGACCTTGCTGCTATAATTAAAGCAGAATTCCATGCTGTTCTGGGTGAAAGTCTCTCGTCGATTAATGCCGAGCTGTCCGCCTTCAAAAAGGAGCTATCGTCTGGGCTAGCAGCGATGCAGGAGAGCTTCACGGGGCTAAAGCTAACGGTAACAGAGGTGGAGAAGTCCGTCTCCCCCTGCACTGACGACATCGTGAGCCTCCAGAAAACAGTTGACGTCCTTACTAAGACGGTGGCACAGTTGGAGGATAAGTGCGATGACCTGGAGTCCCGGTCTCGACGTCAGAACATCCGCATCATTGGTGTTCCGGAGGATGACCCATCAGCGGCGACGACGGCTGCGGTATCTCGGATGCTAAAGGAGGCCTTCGACCTCGAGGAGGAGCCGCTGCTGGACCGCGCTCATCGCATTCCAACCCCCAAACCGAAAGCAGGCGAGCGGGCCCGTCCGATTGTAGCTAAGTTTCACTACCAAGCGGACTGTGTGAAAATCCTGGCGAAGGCGAGGGAGTTGCAGCGGGTCAAAGTGAACGGTACGAATATCTTCGTTTTCCCTGACTACACTGCCAAAACGGCCCGGGCGCGGGCGGCCTTCACGGAATGTCGTCGCAAGCTGCGGGACATCGAGGGGGTTCGGTTCGGCCTGCTCCACCCGGCCCGGCTGAAGATCACGTTTGAGGGTAACACACGGGTGTTTACCTCTGCTGAGGAGGCGAAGATTTACATTGAGTCGATTACAAAATGAGCATTACAATTAATATGACCGGTCTCACACTCAGGAACGTCAGTATTATTAGTCATTATTATTATTCAGGTTTGAAAATGTAATCAAAGTGTTCTGTCTACACTCACGGACTTATTTGTTTACATTCAGGGGTTTAATGTTCTGAATTATAATTAGTATGTTTTGTTTACAATTAAGGATTTAATGTTTAGAATTATAATTAGTG